ATATCTATATATATATATATATATATATATATATCTATATATATATACAGTATATATATATATATAACCTCAAACACCTATAGTTTCCCCTTCCACTTAAATAAAATAGATTTCCAATTACACTTGCTGACCTACTAAAAAAAGTATTACATTGGAAGGATCAGATCTGTAGCTTTTTCACAGCAATATTACCTGATAAACTGCCATTTGAGATTTCCAAGATAAAAACATTCACATCATGTATTTCAAAGCATAACGTACACCTGCCATCTGTTGATCTGCCTAATGTTAATAATCATTTAAAGAAAAGCTGTGCTCTTTAGTACAATCAATAAAAGCTTAATAAAACCTTTCCTTTACATCTATGGGAAGGTTTATTCGTGATCAATAATTGTAATAAAATAGTCCTTACATCTTTCAAAAAATTGATAAACCTTTACCCATGGTAGCAGTTAAGATGAATACTCCCCTTTGAAGGGCCAGGATTACTCAAGTCAATATATACTTTAATAATAAGTTATTAAAGTATAGTTATGGATTTTTTTATGTCCTAAGTCTACTTAGGTGCTTGAAATTCCATAGCAAAAAACAAATCTATATTTTTACAATGTATTGATTTATGTCAATAGGGGTATCAATGACTCTGTTTATTGTATTTCTTGTTTTGGTATAATGGTGGAAAAGATTCATATATAATTAAAGATTTTAAAATTAAATCATAGATTGACAGAGAAAACAATTGCAATTATGTTGGGGGGGTTGTTGTTTTTAATATAATAATATTCACATGAGACATGATATAATCAAATTTTTTTCAGAACTATGTATGTTTTTTTTAGTTTAAGTGGACCTGGCAATAACCCCTGAATTATTAATTTCCTGAAGTATATTAACTTATAGCTGCAGTATAATTAAAAAAAATATATACCTTTTATTATTAACAAACCTTTGAGCTCCAGACAAGGAACTGTGCTTAGACTGAGAGGTGGACTCTAGGAGAATTATCTCATTGGTAGAAGATAGCATTTCCTTATTCTCCTACTCAGGATATACAATTGCAACTTTTTAGCAAGTCATGAGGGAGAGAAAACAGAGAGGATGTATGACAAAAATGTATATAGCCAAGAATATCGCTATACATGATTACATAATACAGGGGAACAAAATTCAGTCAAATAAGTTGATTCTGACTCCGGATGATGCCTGAATAAAGATGGTGTAAGCCTTCTGGGAAGAAATCAAGAATAAAGTGTGTATACATTGGTGTAGCTGGAGCTCTTCGTTTTAGTCGAACTGAAGGGCTGCTGTACATGCAATTCACACTAGCCCGTACAGCTGCCGAAGGCAGCCGAGCGGCTCAGGCGAGCCGAAGGCATTTGCTTCGGCTCTACTGAGCCGAAGTGTCAGTTGAACCGGGGTGAACGGCCTGCTGAAGGCCGGCCTTTCACCCCGCAAATGACAGCTGGGCGGAGACAGCCGTGATCTGACGGCTGGTTCCGCCCAGTTATAATGGCAGATCAGCATCATAGGGACGCTAAACTGTCATCAAACAATAGCAACTGGGCTGAGGCAGCCGTGACATCAGGGCCAGCTCTGCCCAGTTCTTATTAATTGGCCGGGACCTGCTAGAAGACTCTAGCAGGTGCCGGCCAATAGGAAACAGTTAGGCTGAGCTAGTTGTTACTGCTAGCTGTGCCCAATTGTTTTTTTTTTGGGATCTGCTGAGTCGAAGTGCAGAGCATGTTCGGCTGACCGAAGTGCAGCTGAAGGCAGCTGATGTACGGCTGATTTCAGTCGATGTATGACCCACTTCACTTCGGCCTTTGGCAGCTTTGTGAATAACCCCCATTAAAGTATTTTTTTTATTACAGACAGAGGGGTGATCAAAGTCCTGCCAGTTTTTTTTTTTTTTTTGCTGTGGCAATTGGTAAGATTTCTCTTTCTGCCATGTTGACACAACAGAAACAATAGGAACAGGACCACAATCTCATGTTTAGTTTACTCATTTTTATTAGAATTATAGTCTATAATGGGAGCGAGCTTGGAGTGGTGGCTACTTTACAACACACACAGGGACCATGGGGAACAAAAGTAGCCACCCTCCAGAAGGAAGGACAGTGTCAGCACCAATTCAGAGATGATTTGAGGATCTACAGCCAAGTGACACACAAATAAGGTACACCAATAGTTAGGGCCCTTGAATGCATTTTTAAGATTTACCTCCTAAATTTAGTGTCACTTTAAACTTTTTTGGTAACCCTGATGAAGAGGGAGCATTTGGCTCCCAAAATGAGTTGGCTGTTTTGTATCATCCTGCTATTAAAGCCTTTTGGACTCTCATCTTTTTGGCCTGGTGCTCCTATTGTATTTGTTTGCTTTAAGGGACATTCTTGGTACCTGTTGGATTAGATCCTTCTTTTTTGTGAGCAGCCTAGCCAGTGAGATTATATAATTACTGTATCTTCTTCATTACTCCGAATGAGTCAGTGTGAAAGTCCCACTGCCTCTTGAATATGTCCTTTTGATAGACAATCCCAGAACCTGCATAATGCCTGTACAGCCATTGGGAGACCTATTGGAAAAGCCATAAGACAAGCAAGTGTACAAACAAGAACTCTTTTTAACTTGCAATTTCAGAGTATTTGCAATAACATAAAATAAAAAAAAATACTGTAGCTCTGATTTAAATGTAAAATTAGGCAATTGTGTAATACATGGATTGCTGTGTATGTAATAAAGGGCATGCTAGCACTCATACTAGAAAGTCTCTATTTTACAGGTTTTTTTTGCTTTGAATGATGGTGAATTTGATGAATGTATATCTTATTTCAACCTCTGTGTAACTGTGGCTTACACTGTGCTTAGTGCAATTGCATATAATTGATAATGGTCAATTATTACATCTATATAATGTATGACATCTATATATGTTTGAACCATAGAATTTGATCATTTTGTATTTGTGATTTTTCAGGGACATTTGTCACCAAGGTAACAGCCACTGACTCAGACGATCCAGTGTATGGAAACAGCGCTAAACTGGTTTACAGCATTTTAGAAGGCCAGCCTTACTTTTCCATAGAGCCTCATACAGGTAAGCAGATATATGACTAATGATAAGAACATTATATGGGAATATATCCCCTCTACAAGTCCCCTGCAGCCCTGTTCACATACACCTACAGGGATATGATAAAGAGGTTTCACAGTACAGCATCATGTGACAAGAGTCTGCAAACTTGATGAATTATACATTGTATGGACTATCTCACAGCAGCATATTTGCCATGTCCTGTAGAGCATTGCCACCTAATCAATTTATTTTGCTTGTTTCTGTTTCACTTGAATGTGGAGATAAACCAAATGGCATTGGTAAAATATAAGTATGTATGTGTTTTAAGTGTATTACACTACCCCTGGAGTCCATAGCAGGTATCTGGACAGAGTATTCACATGCTGCTTGAGTGTTTCATTTTTGCTTTCAGTCAGCTAAAACCTCTCACATGTTTCACTATGAATAAGCCTACAGGTAAAACATGTGAGAGGTTGTATCTGGTTGGGTGTGTGCAGTGCAGGTATTTGTTGCTTTATTCTCTGTTATACTGGATTTGCTGTGAATTTCAATAAAGTCTGAAGTATTGGAATTCTCTGGATAGTGCGGTCTGTTCGTATACTACTACATTCCAAGGTGGAGACGCACCTATTAGACCAGCACCTGGGGAATCCTGATGGCAGCTAAGGAATTGGAGCAGTGAGATTTCCTTTGGCTCTACATTAGGTTTATTTCAAAGTGGCATGTGAATATTTCATATTCCTGTTTTTACCAAGCTTGACTTAAATTGAATCTGTGTCCAGACTGTGAACACTAAAGTAGCACTTTAAAAACAAGCCCTCATTCACCTCTGTAGCTATAGGAATTGGGGCGAAATACATTTTCACAGTTTACAACAGAGACTCTGAAATATTGACTCTTTTCCTATTGGTTTACTCATGCAGCTAACAAAGTAAATGATGGCTTGCACCAAGGCTCTTCTAGTGCCTGTTATGAATAAGTAAATGATTATATGTCCATAGTCTAAGCACAAGTGTACTTCATCCATTTATTAATTAAAAACGCATGAAAGTTTACAGAGTTCAGTAGCAAAAGCCTAAAATAGCACATACCAACTGAATGCATCACAGCAGTGACTCATCTCCCCCACCTGCTTTGTGTAAATAGAGTCATACAAAGGGGGTGATTTACTAACCTAAACACACGCACGCACTAGGTGCGTGTGATTTTTACACAGCAAAACGTATTTATCAACCAAAAAGTCTCTAAAAGCATATTTCCACTAATGCCATATATGGAAAAATCATGCACATGATGCATATATAATGCTGCTTCACAGTTTAGACAAAAATGGTTAGCTTATGCATTTACATTCCTGCATTCATTAACGCAAGCAACACAATATAGAGCTAATTTACACAACATCACCTTGCAATTCACGCTTGGCTTTGTACAACACACCTGCTGGGTGTGTACACACTACAAAGGTGTTTAGATTCCACCCATAGATCCATGTTTGTGGTGTGTTTATAAGGTTAGTAAATCAACCCCAAAATATCAATTAGACAGAGAGAATCTCAAATCAATCAGCTTCTGATACACACAGTTTAATGCTAAACATTTTCTACTCCTAATTTATCTGATGGATTAATACATATCTAATACCTCCTGAAAGTTGTTTAAACTTACTGCAGATTCCATGAACAAATAATATTGTGCTATAATTCCCAACTAGTTTTATTGCCAATACAGGGCTGGATAAAAAGCAGTACTGATGGAGAATGGAGTACATATAAGGAATATGCTGTTTTCTTTTTTCTACTCACTTTACATTCATAGACAGCTGTAGACCTTCATGGATTTGCTGCAGTGTGGCACCTTGATAATTCCGCTTGCTGGCTAATTTTGTTTTTGTTTTATAAAGAAACAGGCTGCTTTAGCTGCACAGCTGTAAATTTTCAGAAACAGCAGTGATCTCCGAACCTTATGCCTGCCAATAGATCTTCATTTCTGAAAACATATGGGTTGAAGCAACAACCAAATTTGTTAAACCTGATTAAACTTGTTTGTAAATGTGTTAATATGGTAGTAACACATATAAACCATGATTTGGAAGTGAAGTTTAGAGGATTTTAAAACAGGGCTGTAATTTAGTTTTCATTTAGTTGTTAAAGATGAACTCCAGCCAGATATCAATGCAGCTCTTTAATAATGAAAGACCTCAGTGGAAAAAAAGACTTAACCCTTGCGGTGGGTTAAGTGCTCATTTTTGTCCAGATTTGAAAATAAAACGTTATACTCACCCAATCCTTGGAGCTGGTTGTTAGACCAGTCCTTCCATCCCCTCTCCCCCTCTGCTCCAGCAGTCTATGGTCCCATGAATCATCACATCCAATACACTGTGTATTGGATTTGAGGAAGCCAAGGGACGTACCATTACTGGAGGAGACAGGCTGGAGGGAGCGATCTTCAGGAGAATACAATTCTGTTATTTTCTCACCTAGACAAAAACAAGCACTTAACACTTGCAGTGCAGGGATAGTTCTTTAAACCACCATAAAATGTATGTTTTTTAGATGCAAACAGTGTAAGTACCTGCATTTTACTTGGTATCAGCCTCTTAGTCTACTGCACAGTCCGCACAACATTTTTTAAAGGGGAAGCGAGAAACAGCACAAAAATCCTTTGACAGGTAAAACAGCTCCAATGTATGTATTTTATGTATGTGTTTATCTGTTTGCCTAGAGTACTGACCCCTTTCTAATTTTGCTTCAGTCAGGCAGTCATGTGCAATGCAGAATACTTTTGCTTATTTTATTTATTTATTTATTTTGGGTTCCTCTGCACATGATTGGGTATTTTACCTAAACATGCCTTTATCTTGTGAAGTATTTTTATTATTATTAATATTATACAGGATTTATATAGTGCCAACAGTTTATGCAGAGCTTTACATATAGCGCCAAAGTAAAAATAATTTCCTTGTTTGGGTAATCAACCCAAGTGGCCATAGGAAACATTTAACTCATACTTATTATGTCAGATTATATATCTGGACAGAAAAAGTACTCAAAATTAAAATGTAATACTAGTAACGTCACACTTTTCTTTTTTGATGCAATTGTTTTTTTTCCCTTCGATTCTAAACCACTGATGCATTAAAAGAGGTAGAAAAACACAATTATTGAAAGGTCAGTGATCTTTAGCTGAACCTAGTAAACACAGGGGGACACAATATACATTTGTGGTCAAAGCCCCACTGATACGTACCCAGGAATCGAGATGATGGACCTGCCTACAATGACCTGAGGTGTGCCGTGGTCACTATGGTCAGTATGCAAAATAAGGGGGCATACTCAAGAGTAAAAGATAACTGAAAAAGGGGCTGAGGCGGGTGGGATGACGCCCACGAGCCGACAGGTGAGAGGGGGAGACGGAGCAGTTTAAATGTGTGGGGCTCCTCCCACAAATCCGGCAAATTAATTAGCATACCACTTGTGGTCAAAGCCCCACTGATACGTACCCAGGAATCGAGATGATGGACCTGCCTAAAATGACCCGAGGTGTGCCGTGGTGACTAAAAATAACTGCATAGCCCCTAGAAGCCGCAGCCTGAGAGACCACTCGGGGGGAGGAGTCTGACACTAGAGGGATAAACATTGAGACACCGTTCCACTCACCAAGGAACCAGTCCCACATCAACAAATCAACGCGTGCACAGAAGTCCAGAAAAACCAGGGAGTCAGCATCAGGCACCGAAGGCAGCGATGCCAGCAATCTGGAAATAAAATCCCTACCCTGTGGGATGATACACATGGCAAAAGTAAGCATCCCCAGCACCAATTGCAGCTCCCTCCAGGTAGCCATACCAGACTGACCAAGGTTCCGGTGAACGTGGGCAGAGCAGAGGTAATACCTGAGGTAATACCTGAGGATGCGGGCGGAGCTGCAGGCGCCGCCACAATGGCCTCCTCCTTGGAGCCGGAGACGTGCTGCTCTACAGACTCCATCCCAGCCTGCAGGTCCCGCACCGAAGAATTGATTGAATTCAAGAGCACATGGATCTGAGCCAGAGAGGTAGCCATAGACAGCAAAGACACCTGATCCGCGCTAGTGGTTGCCGCCCCGGTGGAAGTAGAAGACAACTAACGAAAAAGTTCCGCCTGTTGAGCCGTTGCTGGGAATGGGATCCCCCTGCGCCGAAGCTCGGCCGTCAGTCAGGGAACAGTCCAGGAACGCGGGGAGGAAGCACTGCCATGTCCGGATCCCCTAGCCGGGGACAGCAGGATTGGAGACATAGCCCATGATGTCCGAAGGCCGTGACATGACGGTATAGCTGAAATGACAAATCTAAATGAGACAGATGGAAAAAAGGGATAGCAACCACCACCGTCACCCGCGGAACATACGGGGATCAGACCACAAACAAAAAACAACGTACCGAACAGAAACGTGGGGCGAAATGAGGCCCGTGTTGGATGTAGCTAACTAGAGCCCGAGGGGCAGTGCTGAGGGCGCGAACCAACTCAGCATGCCCCTGCCCACCCAATGCACTAGTATGCACGGAATGAGTTGGACATGAATCCAAACTAGCCGGCATCGACCCCCCTCCCCTTGTGTATTCATTTTATATTTTTATTTTTTATTTGGTTGTGGGAGACGTGGTAAACAACGACTAGGACCGGAGCAAAGTCCATCCGATGACCCCAATGAAGGTGTGATGGAGAGGTATCGTATGATGTATGAGCAGGGGGCTCGAAGAAAAGGAGGCCACTAACCAAACAACTATAACACTCAGAGCCCCTCCGACCCCAGGTCTGGGGAAAGACTATGTAAAGGCAGATGCGTCCCCAATCATATATGTCAGCAAGCAACCAAATGGAAAACAGAAAACCTACACCTAGTGTATGTGAAGTAGCGTGGTGTAATGCACAGCATAGTGCGTTTGTGCGTGCAACGAAACAAAAACGTAATCCGAGTTACACACACCTGACGAAATGAAGGAGCGAATAATTTCCACGGGGAACCGAAGAGCTCCACCC